AAAAGGTATCTGCTTATTGCAGCATTATTTACAATAGCCAAGATAAAGAAACAACCTAAGTGTCCATCAACAAATGAATGGATAAAGAAAATGTGGTATGTGTGTATGTATGTATATATGTATGTATATGTGTTATACATACATATATACACAATGGAATGTTATTCAGCCACAAAAAAGAATGAAATCTCGCTATTTGCCATAACATGGAGGGACCTTGAGGACATCATGCTAAGTGAAATAAGTCAGACAGGAAAGACAAATACCAGATGAAGACAAATACCGGACGATCTCACTTATATGTAGAACCTAAAAAAAAAAAAAGAAAAAGAAAAAGAAAACCAAGCTCATAGATACAAAGAACAGATTGGCGGTTGCCAGAGGTGGGGGGGGGGGGGTGGGCAAAATGAGTGAAGGGGGTCAAAAGGTACAAACTTCCAGTTACAAAGTAAATGTCAGCGGGATGTACAACATGGTGACTATAGTTAATAATACTGTATTGCATATTTGAAAGTTGCTAAGAGACTAGATCTTAAAAGTTTTTATCACAAGGAAAAAAAATTCTGTAACTATGCATAGTGTTGGATGTTAACTAGATTTACTGTGGTGATCATTTCACAATATATACAAGTACTGAATCATTATGTTGCACATCTGAAACTAATGTAATATTCTATGTCAATTATACCTCAAAAAAAAATTTGCCTGGATGACTCAAAGGACTCAGGAAACCAGATTTACTGGTTTATTACAAGGATATGAATGAACAGCCAGATGAGACATACACAGGGCAAGGTCCGGAACAAAGGAGCTTCCGTTCTTGCGGAGTTTGGGCCCCAGCACGGTGGCACGGGGAAGTGTTCTGGTTCACCACCTGGAAGCTCCCTGAACGCTGTACTATTAGGATTTTTAGGGAAGCTTCCTCACATGGGCATGATCAACTATTCACTCTATTTCCAGCTCCTCTCTCCTCTCTGGATAAGGGGTGGGCCAGGGCCAAAAATTCCAAGGTTCTAATTATAGCTTGGTCTTTCTGGTGACCAGCTCCCATCCAGGAGGCATCCAGGAGCCTACTCAGAGTCACCTCAATAGAGTAAGAGATGTTCGTAGTACTCTTATCACTTAGGAATTTACAAGGGTTTCAGGAGCTCTGTGTCAGGAAGTAGGGGCAGAGACAAATACATATATTTATTATTATTTCACACAAGGAAACAAAATATCCAAAATGTAATTCATTATCTTCCTCTCCCCTACCTCCCTGAATCTGATCCTTTCCCTACATTCCTAAGATAGCTAAAAGCTTCATCTGCTTAGTCATCCAATCCAAAAACGTGGGAGTCACTCTTACTTTTTTCCTCTCTCTCAACTGTCCCACTCAACTCAAATGTTCACCAAATTCTTTCCATTCTAATTCTTGAGTATCTCTTGAATCTTTCTATCCCCTGTCCTTGCTTTCCTTCTGACTCTTACTGCATATGAATTTACTACAACAGCCCCCAAGTGCTCTCATCTCCTGATTCTCCCCTTTCCAATTCATCCTCCACAATGTTGCCACAATTAGTTTTCTAAAATTCGAATCTGAGTTTTCCAGGTTCAAACTCTTTTAAAGGCCTCCCAGTGCCTAAGGAGAAAGTCTCAACTATGCCTTGTGCACAAGGCCCTTCAGTGACGCTGTCCTGACCACCTGCCTTCCTCACTCACCAGCCCCACACGGATCCTTAACTTCAGCTCCACTACACTGTCTCTTGAGCTTGCCACGCTCTACTCTCACTTCTCGTCACCCATGCCTACGCTCTGTCCTCCACCTGGAACAGGGTTAACTCAGGGGGCCTATGAACTGATGGGAACAAAATTACACTTTTATTTTCACTAATTTCTATGTGAAACTTAGCATTTCCTTCAATTATGATGGTAGGGAACAAACCATAGTAGTATTAGCATTACCTGTAGCTTTTTCACCAGAAGAAATCACAGACTTTTCATATCATATTAGTATTGTTGCAGATACTGCAAAGTATCATTTATATTCATAGTCTGAAATTATGGTAGTTACTAGATCACTGCTATTTAATGTGTTAAATAACAAAGCACGTTACTCTATCACAAATTTACTTTTCGTAATTTTTGATAACAACTATACTTCATTATTATTGGTTTCACTTATAAGTCTATGTATTCTAATTTATATATTTAAAAACATTACTTTGAGAAAGGATCCATAAGCTTCTTCAGACTGCCAAAGGAGTCTCCAGCACAAAAAAGGTTACCAGTCCCAACCTGGGATGTTCTTTCCCACTGTATCTTCCTGGGGGATTGCTATTCTCCCTTTAAGAGTTGGTTGGGGGGCCAGCCCGGTGGCGCAAGCGGTTAAGTGCGCACGCTCAGCTGTGGTGGCCCGGGGTTCGCCGGTTCGTATCCTGGGCGCGCACCGATGCACTGCTTATCAAGCCGTGCTGTGGCAGCATCCCATATAAAGTGGAAGAAGATGGGCACGGATGTTAGCCCAGGGCCAGTCTTCCTCAGCAAAAAAAAAAAAAAAAAGACTTGGTTGAGGGCCAGCCCCATGGCATAGTGGTTAAGTGCACGCACTCCGCTGCTGGCGGCTCGGGTTTGGATCCCGGGTGTGCACCGACACACCGCTTGTCAGGCCATGCTGTGGCTGCATCCTATATAAAGTGGAGGAAGATGGGCACAGATGTTAGCTCAGGGCCAGTCTTCCTCAGCAAAAAGAGGAGGATTGGCATGGATGTTAGCTCAGGGCTGATCTTCCTCACACACACACACACACACACACACACACACTAAATAAAAGAAAAAAAAGACTTGGTTGAACTATCACCATCACTAATTAACTATCACTCTGACCCCAACTTCTAGGCCCCCCTCTCCTTCCCCTCTACATTCTCAAAGGCCCACTGTATATGTCTGACTCCTCCATTAGATGAAGCTCCTTGAAGGCAGGAAGGTGTCATTCATTTTTGTATATTCAGCACCTAATTCAGAGCCTGCCACACAGAAATGAAATAAAATTTTGCTGAAATGAACAAATATAAAAGAATATAAACAGATGAAATATTTTATAGTCTTAAAATCTGGGTTTGAATCCTGGCTAATAATTAGTAGCTTTGTGACTTTGGGAAAGTCACAAAACTCTTTTAAGCCTCTTTCTCAGGTGTGAAATGTGGATAAATCCCCCCTACTTATTGCACTCTTATCAAGAGAATCAAATAAAGTAACTGTATGAAAATGCTTTGTCAAACTGCAAGGGCTACACAGAACTTAGTTATTATACCAAGTTATCTAGTAATACATTTAAAAAAACCATGCTAAGGTCATCCCATTATTTAAAACCTACCTTCAGCCAAATCTGTCTACCTGCCAACTATCACCCGAATGTTTGTGTCTCCCCAAAATTCATATGTTGAAGCCCTAATCCCCAATGTGGTGGTATCTGGAGGTGGGGCTTTTGGAAGGAGCCCTCATGATGGGTTTAGTGCCTTTATAAGAAGAGACGTGAGAGAGATGATTCCTCTTGCATTCTCTTTCTACCACGTGAAGATATAGCAAGAAGGTGCCGACTGTAAACCAGGAAGAGGGACCTCACCAGAACCTAACCATGCTGGCACCCTGATCTTGGACTTCCAGAATATAGAACTGTAAGAAATAAATCTCCATTGCTTAAGCCACCCAGTCTATGCTATCTTGGTATAGCAGCCTGAACTAAGACACTGCCCTCTGCAGTAGGGTGCATCCAGAAGCTTATTGCCCAAATGCACCAATCCTGTGTACTTTCAGGTCTGTATGCCCTCGTTCTCGTTATTACTTCCTATTATTCTGCTCAACCTTTTTGCTGCCTGGGTAGCTCCTACTGATTCTTCAATACTCAATCCAAGGGTTAATAACCTCCTCTACAAACCTTTTTCTGGCCTCTCCCTTCCCCACACCTTGCAGAATGTATGAGAGTTAAACCTTTTCTGAGTATCTAGAGAGCAGGGACTCTGGCCTATTCTTCTTGACCTCCTCTCATCCATCAAGAATTCACGTTTGCCTGAGCATAAAATTAGACAAGCAAAAGTGATTACAAAATACATGAAAAAAATCAGTGACACCATATGCTTTTGGTTATTTGTAAGAACAGCATAGCCCTAACCTTATAAGTTTAAATTCTGAAGGATGAATCTGTCACAAGTCCTTTAAATATTCAGTTTCAGCTCATTTTAAATGTAAATCCATTCACTCTCACACAGCAAGGTGAAGTTCATCTTGCAATGTCTGTTTCTGCAGTCATATCATAATGCAGAGCACTGTGTCATTGAAAATGTCACCATGAAGAGGCTGAAACAAGAGACCACAGCATCTCTGAATTCTTCCCATTCTCATTGCGCCCAAAAGGAGAACAGGAGTGAGAATTTTAGTTCAGATCCCTTACCTCAGAGTGAGATAAGGAGAATAGAAACCAGAGGAACCATAGCCAGTTCCATGCACAATGAGTTATAGGCTAACCCACGCAGAGTAGTAGGAGGCAGTGGTGATCTTCCAGGCCCAAATGCAACCCTGTAAGGGAATTTCTGACCCTCTTACAGAGTTGCCTTAAGGTTTCCTCAATTCTAAGGAGACAGAAGACAGTTCCCAACAAAGTACATGTATATCAAAAAACCACCAAGCCAATGATATACAGACAATAACAGATTTAGGCCAAAATCTGAGTTTAAGATTTAGTTTAAGATCAAGCAGGAGGAAGTAAAGTTATGACCTACTTACACTATCACTAAATGATCTCACTTCCTATTTCACAGACACAACAAAGCACACATTTTCAATTTTCTGTCATCTACCTTTAGATCCATTTGCCCCAGTAGCCTGAGAACAGGTTGCCTGATCTGCTTTTGTATTCCCCTGAGTTCTTCAATTCCTAAAAGTTATGAACCAGCTTGCTCAACGATGCCCCATTTAACTTATTAACTATTCCCCTACCTAAACGTCCTCTATAATCTTCTTACCTACGGTTAGGAAGGTGCTCAAGAGCTGCTCCGTGGCAACAGGCTTGATCTCTGTCCGTAGATTAACAAATCTGCCAACCACCAAGGGGGCTCGGCGGAAACCCAGAATCCTGGTTTGGAAGGTTGAAGAACAGAAGAGAAAAATCTTTGGGGATTTATTTTAAATAGTAGTCTCAAAAATTATAGTTGATCATGTTAGACATATAAAGGTATTGTTGCTAGGTAGGTAAATATTATTTTTTAGAGGTACATATAATTTATGAGTTTAATATTAAGATGTATGTAATTTATTTTAATATACTCCTTAGTTAAAAGGATAAGGCAAATCCAGCAAAATGTAAACAAATGCTAAATCTAGGGAGTGGGCATATGGGTTCATTACAGTATTCTCCATACTTTTGCTTGTTAGAAATTTTTCATAATAAAAATTTCAAATAAATTTTAACAAAGCACTCAAAAAAAAAATTGGGCCTAAACCCATACATGGGTTCAAAGCTTTCCAAAAAATAGCACAATGACAGAAAACCACACAGATTAATCTAAAAGGTTAAATCCAAAGGACAACTTAAATATAGATACATTTGAAGATACTTCTCTCCAATGATCTAAAAGTACAACCTTATGGTTGAGCACAATCATTTTTTAAAAAATGAAATTTCCTGGCTAAAAAATACACAGCCACTGAAGAAACGTTGGAGGGGCTGGATGTGGAACACACAGAAAATTTATAATGAAGAAAATAAAGATCATCCATAATTCCATGATGCAGAAATAACTACTGACATTTTGGCATATGAGCATTTTTTCCTTGACATGTATATATAAACACATACTCAGTCTTGTGTATATACACACAATTGACATTTATACTATATGCAGTTTTGTATCCTACTTTTCACTCATCATTATATCATGAGCCTTTTCCCATGTCATTAGAAAGCCTTTAAAAATGGCTGTGTAATAAATAATCCATTGTTCAGGGCTGCTGACTGACTTTGTCCTAAATTCAATCTTTTAGAAAAGCCACAAAAGCAAGGAGATCAACAGATTTGTCAAAATAACATAAAAATCAAAAGAATCTCCTGAGGCCAGAGGAGGTAGTTAAATCCTAATGTAATGGGGAAACAGCAACCCAGAGCAGAAGTGTCAGGAGCCATGGATAGAAAGGCAGTTGGGAAGTATTGTTCTCCCCATTGACATTGCCAGGCCAAAGAACAGCAGCCAGTTTATGCTGAGGAGCCATGTGTTGAGGAGTCACAGTGACACCTGGGCCAGGCTAGGGTAGCAATTAACAAAAGGGGTAGGGAGACTGGCCAGAGAATATCTTTCAGACTTTGAGGTAGGGAAGAACTTTTAAATACAAGACCCCCAAAGCAAAAGTCATAAATTGAAACATTATTATATCTAATTAACATCAAAAGTAATGATTTCTCTACAAAGACTACTTCACTCTAAGTTAACAAATAGATGTTGTGCTATGAAAAGATAAGGAGATACTAAATTTTGCTAATAATTGAGGAAATACAAAATAAAATAACAATGAGATACCACTTTACATATATTAGAATAACAAAAATTAGTCTGTTGGATAATATAAAATATTGGTATGGATATGAGAAAATGATCCCCTGGCGTCCATCAATAAGGAAACAAGAAGGGGCTTGGGGATGAAGAAAATAGGGAAACGAACGAGGTCTTGGAAAGACTGACTCTCGTGTGCCATTAAGTGAGGAGGAGGATTTACCCAACTCTTCCCCACTAGGTCTTAAAAAAGGCAGTGAAAATTCACAGTATTGTGCACAAAGATTTATTTATCCTTTTCCATATCATTAGATGTTTAGATTGCTACCAGTTTTTCACTACTGAAAATGCTACACCTAAGATCATGGTATGTGTATCTTTGAATTTCTGATTATTTCTCTAGGGTACTTCCTAGAAATATCTTAGATATTTGCATTAAAAAGTAGTTACTTGTTCAAAGGGTATGAACATTAAGGTCTTTGATACATGATGCTGGAGTTCTTAAAAGAATGAACCAATTAACAATGCCACAAGAGCATATAAACCCCAATGTACTCCTGCCAATAAATTATTATCTTTTTTAAAATCTGTGCCATTTTCAGCAGGAGAAAATAGTATCCCCACTGTTTCAACTGGATTTTTTTTTATTACTGGTGAGAATGAACTCCCCCTGTATTTATTAGCAATTGATAATTTCTATTCAGTCAACTGTCTTTAGACCATTTTCTACTAGTTTTAGCATATATATAGATTTGTATAAATATTTATATATTAAGGCTATTCATGCTTACATTACATGAGATTCAAGTATTTTCTCCTAGTTTGCTTTTAAATTTTGTTTGAAGTTTCTTGACATATGAGTTAATTTTTTAAATTTAGTCGAGTCTATTGAGCTTTTTCTTTGTGATTTTTAAATTATTGCTTTTATGCTTAGAAAATCCTTCCTAATCCAGAAAAAGACAAAATTTCACCTTTATTTTCTTCGGGTTTCCTTACAGACTCATTATAAAAATACTGTGAATAATTTCTTTTGAAGTCTGTCAGTATGCCCTGATGAAAGCACCGATCAGGTCAGTCATAAGGTCCCTGACCAGCAACCTGCTGAAAAAATATCCATTTTCCTAGAGTAGGGCATAATAATATCCTTTATTATAGAGTCAAGATATGTCCTCAACCAGTGAGAGAGACTCCTGCTTCAAAACTTTGTTTGCATAAATAAAGGAAATAGAAAAATAAATAAATTCCAAAAACGAAAAAAAAATTTTCCTAGTGAACATATACATTTAGAATTCTTTGCTTTTTTTTTTTTTTCTGTGAGGACTAGCCCTGAGCTAACATCCGATGCCAATCCTCCCCCATTTTTTTTTTCTTGAGGAAGACTGGCCCTGGGCTATCATCTGTGCCCATCTTCCTCTACTTTATATGGGACGCCGCCACAGCATGGCTTAACAAGCGGTGCGTCGGTGCGTGCCCGGGATCCGAACTGGCGAACCCCAGGCCGCCGCAGTGTAGCGCGCGCACTTAACCGCTGTGCCACCGGGTGGCCCCTACATTTAGAATTCATGTCTGTTTTTCTTTTGGAGTTATTCTAGTTATTGAAGCTGTGCATATTTTGTATAAAGGACAATAAAATTCATTATACATGTCATGCTATATGTCTCTAGCATATGAAGATAAGTCAGTATTACTTACTTAAAACAAAAACAAAACCAAAAAACAGGACTGTCAGGCCTAATTAATAACCAGTTCAATTTAGGGATTTGAGTTCAAACTTTGGTTTTCATCCTGACATTTTATTTACCAAGTACATCTTTACTCATGATAATGACAGAGGGCATACCAGAATGAAATGACCTAAAAATGCCTAGAGTTAAGATATTTACTTTGGTATTCCTAGTACCACCCAAATTATGAGGGACTCATATAAATTTAATGGAATTAGTCAATCTAAAGTAAGGAATAAGTCAAAGTTTAGCCTTGCACCCTTTGGAAGGAGTCCACAGAGAGAGTGCTCTTTCCTTTTAAAAGGAAACAAAACGAATGTAACCCACTGTGATTACACATACCTGTCCAAATGAAAGGCTGCTACCTCTGCATTGTGTCTATCATAACCAGCATATGGCTCCCCTTCTACCACATAGTCTCGGTTATACCTGCAGAGTGAATGGGAAGCACAGATGCAGACACGGATTACATCAGTACCAGAGGTGACAGCATGAAGCAGAGTAGAAACTTTAGCAAGCCTGATTCTGCTCTAAAGACACCTTCTGTCAACCTTGAGAACAATCGTGGACTAGCACAAACCACTGGTAGATGGGGTGAGGATGAAGTGGAGAAGGAAACTAGAATTCTGTATCTACTGCAGCAATCCTTCTATGACCAAAACACGGAAGATGTTACTTTTACCCCTCTAAAAGACATTCAGTGTCATCTAAATAAAACTATAAGGTAATTTTCTGGAAGGCAAGGACCATTTTTTATTCCTAGCAGTGTTAAGCCTACAGCTGGTGCTTAATAAATGTTTACTAAAATGTTTATTAGTCTGACTTGAAGAAATGAAGGAAAAAATGTATGTAATTAAAATGTTTGCTTATCATAATGACTCTGGTAAGGCTTATAAGAGAAGTTTAAATTTCTTGGGGGGAAAAAACAGTCCTGATATGCCTCAGTATTTGTTAATAAGTAGGCAAAGGTACATTTAAAAAAGTTGCTTGAATAACCATTCTCTTTTTCTAAGTTTATGATGATGTAGTAGAAGGACTACTGGATTGGAGTGAGAGCCAGGTATAGCTCTGTTACCTGCGTAGGTAACCTTGAGCAAAACCTTTCTCTTCTCTGGGTCTTAGATTCCTTATCTACAATATGAGGGGCTGGACTAGGAGGTAACTTCTAAGATCTCTTTCATCTCAACCACCATTCTGAAGATTTTACTTCACATGCATGACAGAAACAAAAGATAAAGAAAACCAGCATATTTCTTTCTACTAATCATAAAAAAGATACAATTTAAACCTGTTAATTGGAAAGAAAAAGACACTTAATTCACCAATGACCTCTACTGCTCATCTGAATTTCCTGAATTAAAAGGAGATCTATTAGGCTTTACAACGGAACTGTAAAAGAGAAATAAATTGAGATTGAAGTGAAGAGGAGCTGTCCCATGAAGGACACTTGGATCTCCAATGCTGAAAAGGCCATGGGAAAGTGGGAAACAACAGTAGTACAGGCAGTGACCTTCAACATAAATGACCTTGGAATATAAGTGAAACCATGTCCACAGAACACATTTGCAAGGCAAAGTGATGAAACATCTATGTTAGAAAACAGCCATGGGGCCAGCCCCGTGGCTTAGCAGTTAAGTGTGCGTGCTCCGCTACTGGCGGCCCGGGTTCGGATCCCGGGCACGCACCAACGCACTGCTTCTCTGGCCATGCTGAGGCCGCGTCCCATATACAGGAACTAGAAGGATGTGCAACTATGACATACAACTATCTACTGGGGCTTTGGCGGGGGGGGGGAAAGGAGGAGGATTGGCAATAGATGTTAACTCAGAGCCGGCCTTCCTCAGCAAAAAAGAGAAGGATTCAGCATGGATGTTAGCTCAGGGCTGATCTTCCTCACAAAAAAAAAAAAAAAAGAAAGAAAAGAAAACAGCCATGTATCACCACCTGGTTGGACACCAGTTTCTTCTTAGCATGGTCAATATACACCAACGTATTTTTTTGTTTCTAGTGTCAAAGCATTCTTTAGGCTCGTAGGATTATACAGGCTACCTTCAAAATAAAAATCTCAGTTTAAAATAGGACTGAAGCAAAAGGTGACACTATTAAGTGCTTCTCTCTCCACAACAGCTGTAGGCTGTCCGTAAAGCTGGGGGACAGTCCTTGAATACATTATTTTTCAGGACTCAAGCAGAGCCAGAAGAAGATATGTGGGGATGTACAGTCCATTCCTTTCAGTGAAACACTGCAGAGATTTCCAATACATCGAAAGGTTGCTCAGAGCGAAATGTAAAACCCTAGAGGAATCCAGGAACTTTGGGAGTGGGCTGGAGAGAAAGGAGGGAAGGAAAAGGAATAAGAATCAAAAGGAAAGAACTACACTGGAGTCAGAAGGTCTGATCCTTCGCTCATCCTTCGTTCTAGCTATGTGAAATACGGAAAGTTAGAACTCAGGATCTCATTTTCCACACCTGTAAAATGAGTAGTTGGACTAGCTGATCTCTAAGGTCCCTTTCAGCATTTCTTAAGCTCACTCACTCACTGTAACTGCCTTTTTTGCCTGTGAAAATCAATTTACTTCCAGAATGGATACAGCTACATTAAAAAAAAATCACTTTTATAACATACAGCAAAATGTACAAATAAAAGCATTGATGTATTCCTATATATTTCATCTACTATACATACCTTCCATCTCTGACAGTAGGACACAGACCACCAGGCTCCAGAAATGCTGAAACCACAAGTGGCTATTAAAGAAAGGTACATGTCTCGACTTAGCAGTAAGGACTTAGATCCTCCTCTCAGCAGAGAGTGATCCATCTTAAGTCACTGACAGAGCAGCAAAATTCATACAGTAACTGCCAATAAATCACTCCTATCATCCTGGTGAAGGACATCAGAGCCAGACCAAGGAGATTAATTTGCACTTACACTAGGACTGAATAGCCTTTGAGGCTCCTGGGGTCAGAATAGCAATTTGCCGGGTGTTTCAGGATTGGAGTCAATTTCTACAAGCACTTAAACTTACACCCACCTTCCCCAGCCTGCGATAGGGCCAGGTGTAATCAGCACAGGTCAGTGTACACAGTGACTAACAGCACTATCACCCACTGCGGGGGCTGCACAGCACGTGGGGGAGGAGAGTCCCGTGGAGCTCGAAGTGGACGTGGGCTGTTGAGGAGATGGTGGGGGAGTAGGGGACAGGTTTGACAGGAATAAAGAGCTGGGTATAGAGAGGAGGACCAGACTGTGAGGGGCTTGATCACTAGGCTGTGAGGCTGGATTTCGTCTGGTGAGCAATGGGAAGTCCCTGGATGTTTTAAAGCTGGGGAGCACAGTGATAATATGGGTATTTGGGGGAAGAATGAAAGTGGTTTTCAGGATGGTCTGGAGGAGGAGAGTAATGGGAAGGTTGCAGAGTAGTAAGAGATATGAGATGAAGCAATAGTGACTAAGGTTAGTTTATGCATTTATCTGCTGCCACCTCCCCTAGTCAACCAGTCTGGCTCCTCGTCCTTCCACTTGTACCTTGTCTGAATACTCGAGGCCTATCTGCAAGGCACCTGGACTAATCCTAACACTGCCCACTATCAGGACTATCCGCCTTCTAACACTTTCTGCTGTGCTAGCTCACCCTCAATTCTCCAGTGTACAAACCATGGGTGTGGAGAAGATATCCTCTTATTTACACACAAAATGTCCACAACTCATCTCTTTTTACACAAATTTAAATTTTGTTTTTAGTTTGCCTTCTTTCTATCACTCTGCTTTTGCTGCTGATCTCTCAGACTACAAACCTAGAGGTCAAGACCACATTTCAAAACTAAACTAGTGATTTTTGATGATGGGTGATCCATGTTATCACACTTACAGGAAGCTAAACAAACTTAAGAGAATTACATGTGTGTGGCAGAACACCAGCTGCTCACACTCTGACAGATCCAAACGCCAGCTCCATTAGTCACTGCGGGTTGATCCTGTCAAGTTAGTTACTCTCTCTAAGCCTCAGTTTCTTATTCTAAAAATAAGAACTGTAACTGCCTACAGTTGTGATGAAGGTTAAACGCATTAACAGATACACAAGTACTTAGTGTAATGCCTGGCAAAAGCTGTACATTCAAGGGAAACTCGATCCCAAGGCCCACATAACCATACTTTTTCCACATTACCTACCAATCAGATTTTTCTGTTCTCCAAAAGTCTACTGCATTTTTTAACTTGCCTAATTTCCGCATCTTCCATACATCATACTTCCCAGTTCCAGGCAAATGCAGATTCCTTCCATTTCTGGGATCCCAATAAATTAGTTCTCTGGCTGCCTATTACCTACTGAAAGCTGGGTAATGAAGGGAGCTAACTAAGCCAACCACTCGGGTCACAAGTGAATTCTGTACATCTTTACCCTATATTTCTTGTCTCACTACAGCAAGAGACCCAAAGGTATGTGTTATAATTCTCTCAAACGCTCCATTGAGGAATGAAAAAAACATTTAGTACACAGAAAATTGAAGACATTACAAACTTTGAGAAAATTCACTGGTAACTAATGCCTGGCAAAAGAATATGAATCACCATCATGTTAACCTATTTCAAATTCATATACTCACAGAAAACTTAAAAAAATTATACTATAGGATTGCCACACAAATTATCTCTGTAGATCTTAGAGAAGTCCAAAGGGATCGCTGCCTAACCACATACAATTCAGCCCATTCTCTAGGATTTCGGACTGAGGTAACTAAAATGGCCCAGTTCTCTGCTTAAAACAGGTAAAAGAAACAACAATGAGATATCACTACACACCTAATAGAATGGCAAAATCCAAAACAGTGACACCACCAAATGCTGGTGAGGATGTGGAGTAACATGAACTCTCATTCATTGCTGGTGAGAATGTAAAATGGAACAGCCACTTTGGAAGACAGTTTGGCAGTTTCTTACAAAATTAAACATACTCTTACCATATGATCTAGCAATCATGCTTCTTGATATTTACCCAAATGAGCTGAAAACTTACATCTACACAAAAACCTGCATGAATATTTATAACAGCTTTATTCATTAATTGCCAAAACTTGGAAGCAACCAAGATGACCTTCAGTAGGTGAATGGATAAACAAACTGGTACATCTATACAATGGAATATTATTCAGCAACGAAAAGAAATGAGCTATCAAGACACAAAAAGACATGGAGGAAACTTAAATGCATATTTCTAAGTGAGAGAAGCCAATCTGAAAAAGCTACAAAAGGTATGATTCCAACTATATGGCATTCTGGAAAAAGCAAAAGATGGAGACAGTAAAAAGTGGTTGCGAGAGGTTTGAGGGGAGGGAGAGAAGGATGAATAGGTGGAACACAGGGGATGTTTAGGGCAGGGAAGCTATTCTGTATGATATTGTAATGGTGGATACTTGTAACTCTATGTTCAGCAAAACCCACAAAATGTACAACACAAAGAGCGAATCTTAATGTAAACTATGGACTTTAGTTAATACATTAATATTGGCTCATCAACTATAACAAATGTACTGTACTAATGGAAGATGTTAATAGGAGAAATTGGGGGGAGGGGAGAAGTATATAGGAACTCTGTACTTTCCCTCGATTTTTCTGTAAACCTAAAACTTCTCAAAAAAAAAAGTCTATTAATTTAAATAAAAACAAAACAAAATTCTATGAAAGAATCATAGCTTCAGCACTAAAAGAGAATTTAGTCACTCATCCAAACTCTGGGTACTCCACTCCAACTCTGGGTAACTCCTGCTCTACAGTATCCCTGACATGTGGTTATCTTGCCTTTAATTGCACACTTTTGGTGACAAGTTGCTTATTTCCTAACCATCAAGGATAGCTCTAACCGCAAAAAGTTCAGTCTTATACAGAACCAAAACATGTCCCTATAAATTTCCCCTACTCAAAGAATCACAGAACATTAAGAGCTAGAAAGACTTCAGAGATCTTCTAGTCTACCCCTCTCATTTTACTGACGAGAATACCAAGAGAAGGAGATGAACACTTACATAACTCCCAAGTTACATGAATTACCCAACTAGCACATATAACTTCCAAGAAGACAACTTACCGCTTAGGTTTGAAGACAACTTTCTGTCCTCCTTCAAGTATCAGTAAGGCTTTCAGTTGTGTCCCTTTATAACCCACATCGGCTTTAATGATTTTCTTGGTGGCCATGGCATGCATGATTGCCCCCAGCTCTGGTGTCTCTTCAGGGTACACTTCCCGGGGAACCACCCACTGGGCTGCAATCTCCCAGGGAGACTGCAAGGTATGGTCCAGCTTGGGCACCAGCTCCACTCGCAAGCCAGCCATCATTCGGTGAAAGGCCCTCTGGTCCTCCCGGTTGGCAGCTGATGTATCTAAGTTGTCAATCAGGAAAACTTTGGTGAAGATAAAGATGACAAGGAGAATTGCTAACAGCACGACTCGCTGCTTTAGCTTCATGTTGACCTCTTGTCCTTCTCCCCTGACCCACTCTCTCTCACTTATCAAGGAGAGCAGGTGGTGATGGTTAGCAAGGAGATTCCATGATTATACACACTCGTCCATTTCTTCACTGAAGCACCTCCCACAATTCCTGCAAGCCCAAGTATAAAGCAAAATTTAATCAGAAATTCTGTCCTTCCACCCCTGAATCTTTTGTAACTCTCAAATATATTACTCTTTTGGCCTTGCCAATCCAAGCTTGAGAAGACCCAATAATTTAAAATTAACTAGTCCGGGCAAGGACCTATAGGTAAGAATCAGGTATAATGAAAATTTAGAAGCAAATACTCTTGTTTTAATAGGGTTCAGAGCCATTTGGATGGCCATAAATTCCTAGAAACCAAAACAATGAGAAAAAAGCACAATAAAAGTAAAACATTAAGATATGCATAACTCCTTAACTTTCATTTTTACCTTTCAGAATCCATAAAGGACTTTTGAACATTCAAAATCACCAGTATTTGGTAACTTTAGTTCTTCTCCAAATATAAGTTTTATGACATGTTGTAAGACAGGAACTCCTAAAAATGCCACAGAGTATGCACAAGAGAGTGATAGCTCCTTCTCCAAATCCAAATACCCAGCAATCCTGGACGTGTCATATTTGCTGCTCACATATTTAAAACAGTTTTATTTATTTATTTATTTATTTTATTATTTTTGTGTGTGTGTGAGGAAGATCAGCCCTGGGCTAACATCCCTGCTAATCCTCCTCTTTTTGCTGAGGAAGACCGGCTCTGAGCTAACATCTATTGCCAATCCTCCTCCTTTTTTTTTTTGCCCAAAGCCTCTGTAGATAGTTGTATGTCATAGTGCACATCCTTCTAGTTGCTGTATGTGGGACGCGGCCTCAGCATGGCCAGAGAAGCGGTGCGCACCTGGGATCCGAACCCAGGCCGCCAGTAGCAGAGCACGAGCACTTAACTGCTAAGCCACGGGGCCGCCCCGCTGCTCACATATTTAAATACAACACTCAGACACGTATCTCTACTTAATCAGTCTTCCACTAATTATTTTTCAGAATTAAAATCCCTGTAAAATATGGATAATCAAATCTGGATAAATTAAGTAAAGGAAAAACATATCCTCACACCATCTGGCTATCAGTAGAACATGACCAGAAAACCAATGAAACCTGGTACTATAGCAACACTGCTAAGTCTGGAATGGTCAGGCACATAACAAAGATACTGATGCCACAGACAAAAAGAAGTGCTGCTTCCAGTGTGGGGCTGACTGCACTCTGGTCGATTCTCAAGCTTTAGCTTAAGAATCTTTTAAGATTCCAAATACAAGATTTTTGCAAGAGTGTCAAGAACATATAATTCAGTCTCATTTGCATGCTGACAGGTTGCTTTCCATTCAACAGGGCCATTTAAAAACACGCACAAGCTTGCTCTGCTATATGCCTACAGACAGCACAGCACTGGGCTAAGACAAAGATGACAAGAAGATAACACGGTGTTGCTTCACTCTCCAATTCATTTAACAACTCAAACCATTAATTGAAGAAATAAAACCAATACAAAAGATAGAGCTAATGATTCAGGCTGAGACACTCCCACCCAAACTGGAGACTGTTCCCCTAATAACAACTGGAAACACATCCAAAAACAGTCTACTAGAGCAACAGTGTGTTCTAAGGGCAACACCTTGCGGTGAGCCCGCTGACATGCAGTTTACTCTGAGTGATTAACCACTCTTTTCCCGATTATTTTCATGAAGAAGCAGAAAGTGAGAGTCAAATTCTAATTATCTCCAGCCACCTGTTTTGTTTCATCATCATCTCCCAGGGAGTACATAACACTAGTAGCTGAAACAAAGGCAATTCATGTGCATCCAAATTGTAATTGCGATGGTATCAAGTTTGGTGTGAAACAGTAAAAGAGCTCCCTGTGATTACTGATAATGGCAACGCTAGGAGAGCAGATTTCAGAGATTTTTGCTAGTTCCAACACGACCTAAACCACACAACTTCTTCAATCATTTTTTCAATAGTACACATCTCAGGCTGCAATGATAAAAAGTAAGAGAAATCTTGCTGTGTCAGCAATCGCTACCTCAGCACCTCCAGCGGCAACCACCTACAGCTGCGGCACAATTCTGGCACAAAGGGGTCAGCTGTACAGCCTTTTACTTCCTACAAAACACTCTTCAGGACTCAAGTCTGGTTAACCTACAAACTTCTAATGATGCTGCTCATTTCATTCAAAATAAAGAAATTCCTTCCTCATGCTATATAAACATGTCATATCTAAACATTTAGCATAAAGGTTAGGGATACTGAGGTTTTATTTTTTTTAAATCACCAATGCCATAGGAAGTTCTAGCAACTCCAAAATTCAGACAAACAGTCCAATTCTTCAATCTGAGCTTGTGTGCTTTAAGTTTTGAAATTTCATTACCTTTTGAAGAACATATTCATTACTTCAGGGCTGCAAACAATTCATCCACTCAACTAGGATAGAAATTTGTATTAAGTGAACTGCAGAGTTCGACTGTTAGGGTACTTCCCTATTTACCTCTGCAGATTAGTAGTGAGGGCAGGTTTAAAGAAGAGCCTGAACAGGTTTCCACATCTGTGATTAGTCACCATATCCTGGTAGAACAAGTAAGACCACAATCTGGCATTGTTCTCTTCGACTGCCCTTCTCTCCGACAGCCACCAACTGAATTGAGTGCTCATCACCTTTTACTGGATGACTGAAAGAACCACCTTCTGGGCTTCCAGGTTCTCCAGTCCAGGCTAGATAATGCAGCAAAATCATTTTTCTAACCACACACCACTTCTGATTTCTATAAATGCCTTAGCAAGGCATTAAAGCCCTACCCTAAATGGCATCACTCTTATCTCTTCACTCATCACTCTCTTCTCAGCTTCAACCAAAACGGACCAGGAACATGCGCTGCTCCCCATCCCCCTCACGTGATTGACCTCTGCCCTTGTCATTCCTCATACTCCCTCAAAATTCCTCTCGCTCTTACCCTTTGTTTCCATCTTCTGTTTAAAGCCTAATCTATCTTTCAAGGGCCATCTCCAAAGCCATTTCTGGTCCCTCCCCACACTCTACAATAACCTCTCTCTCCTTTAGACCAGGACTTAACTACCTTCTGCCTTGTCCAGCATCTTTTTGTATATAGTTCTTAATTCCCCTCTCAGAATCTTGGCTCCTGAGTGATCTTACCTATCTCTGCATTCCCTCCGGTACCTAGCATAGTAAGAGTAGATGCCTTATTCACTTAAACTGAACAAACTACTACAAACGAGGCTTTACAAGTCTCTTAGGACTCTGGTGTTCTTCTCCCTTGGTATTCAGTATCAAGTGAGTGTGTATCAACTGGCACCTTAATGCTGGCTATCCCTAACCAGCTATCCTCCTTTTTTTGGCAATCTATCTCTCTACCAACACTCTAACTACTCAGTTTAGTTGGTAGTTTCAGAGTATAGTCTCTTTTTCTGAGGAAATATTGACAGTTCAGAAAGAGGTTTTCTTTTAGCTGGAAAGATGCTACTCCTTCAGCCCACAGGGCAAGCACGAAGCTATTTAAGAAACCGACAATGTAGAGATTATTCTGGAATTTCTACAAAAAGTCTATGAGTTTGCAAGACTCCTATTCCCCAAAAATGTATGAGATGCATGATATGGAATAATTCCATCCTCTAATGATGGTATACTTCTTACTCTTTAGCATGATCCCCTTCACTTCAGTACGCTTGAGAGGGGAGGGTACCCAAGACAGGGTTTCTACGCTGTATTATCTTTTTTCCTTATTTGAAAAAGCAGCATACTATACACTCTGCAAACTGGGTTCCTAAGAAGATCCCCCATTTCAGATACTAAGGAAATTAAAGCAAGACCACTGGGTATATTCCAATTTATTTATGAAAATTTCACTTACATTCCCAGAAGAGTCTGCCTGCTCTATTTCCTGCCCTCGCCTCCTCCTATAAATGCCTCCAACAGTGTGACACTGTCCAGTTATACTATGGCCATTTATTTTAATGTTTCTGTTATGTGTAACAGAGCCTACCTCAAAGAACAAATAGACTCAAGGTAACAACATAACTCAAAAAACGTTAAATATAAAAAAAGCAGCGCAAATAGCAGTCTTCACACTAAAAGCTGGCATAAGTTCCCAGACTGGAGTTCTGGAAGGTAGACCTTCATAAGGAATTTTCCTATTGAACCCTGGTTTCACCATCAGCTAAATGAGGCGTGCTATGGAGGCTCATTTTCTTTCATTCTTCACACACTCACACACACACACCATCCTATATGTTTGATAAATGTTTTATAAGGATAAACATGACTATCAAGTTGTTTTGGGAAAAGAGATATAGATTCCACAGTTCCTTTGTGAGAAGAGACATAGATTCCACAGAAAAAGGTGAGGTCTTAGTATCAAGTCCTCCATTCAAGAATGTGGCTGATGCCTGGAGGAACATATACAGAAAAATATATCGGTGGAGAGGTCTGTTAAATTATCACGTGGTAAAATTCAATGTTATGTGGCTGCTGAGGAACATGAGAACACCTGGCCCCAACACTTACTATCTTACTAGGGGCTCCCACAAGCCACAGTGAGGTTCTAGGCCTCATTAGTAGCAGTGTTCCCTTGAATCTCCCTCTGAGGTGAGCACCTCATACTACTTCTCCTAAGGTCATAGAGAAGAAATCCCAACCTTTGCTCACAGCAACTAAAAGTGAAAGCTTCAGTAATAGTACTTTTTTGTGTTTCCAACTCAATGGTCAAATCAAGTTCTTACCACATAAATGGAATGTAATATGCCTTGTGAGTGTAAGGTACCACAAGGAAAATGTTCAGTATGAACATTTCACACAGAGAACTATTAACAGAGGAGATCTGTAGCAAAAGGGGTGTAATTTATTATATAACTAGTATATAACCATATTTACTCACACAATCTCCCTGCCCTTGATCCTGAGTAGGAATTACAAGGACCCTTTTACAAACTTCTTCTTCACTAATTGTTGGTTTCAGCAAACCTCTGAAGGTTTGGTGAGTATAAGACGTGAGGCCTGAATTAACAATTAAGAGTTTTTGGTTGACCATCTACAAAGGTAGACACCAACAATTCCTCCTATCAAGAA